AAATCTCTATTAAAGAATCGGGAACTGGAGCTGCTCCCAGAAAAATGGATGAAATGGGCATTTTTTTTTTTTCTCTTGGGAAATGACAGCTGAGCATTCTAGACTACAGAGAAACGGAATGAGTGGGCGTCCCGGAGGGGACCAATAGCCAGAGCAGAGCTCAGCAGGCACCACCACGGAGGTGGCCAGGAAGGTCCCCAACGTCGGGAGCAAGAGAGAAGAATGTGGAAGCAGAGAACGTGTCCTTCATWCTAGTGCTCATGGGAACCAGGGCCAGCCACACGTGGTCATGCAAAATTAAAAAGTGATGATAAGACCTGGAGATGGAGGAGATGGCGTGAGTTACGGAGTAGGAGGGCAGGCGACCTGTTGCTGGTGGAATTGTGAGTTTCTTCCTGATCCTGGAAACAATTCTAGAAACATCCATTTGAAAAATGCACGGTCCTATTAACCTAGCCATATCTCTTTGGGGCTTCATCCTTTTACAGAAATGAAAACACAATGGGGATGTTAGGAGTTAGAGTTTAGAACTGCTTTTGGGATCTAGTAGGAAAAGTTTCTTGGAGCATTGTGTATACTGGCAAAAAACTGTTAAAAATCTGAATACCTGTGGCCAGGGGAATGGTTGAGTGACTGGTTTATTTGTGGGCTGAAACGTGATGGGACTGTTAAAAGAGATTGAACTGTATCTCTACTATTGACTTGGAATTTTTAGTAAAGTAAGTCAGAGGAAAACATTGTACAGGATGATCCCTGAAGAAAAACCTTGACAGAACCCCAATAAAGGTGGATCAGTGCATATGGGATTTAAGAGCCCAGAGAAAAGGGTGAAAATGAAAACCATGAAGTTGATCATTTTGGTTTCTTTTGATAGGAAAAGGTCAAAGGTGGAAGTAATTATAATAGAAAAATTGGCAAAGTAAAGAAAAAGTCCTTGACAAAATGAAAACACGTAGTCTATCAAAAATTCATGATTTTGCTCTGTGTGTCTGTGAGCAATCGATACATAACAAACATGGCAAATGCAGTGGCTCAAAAATACTCATTACATATTTCTCACACATCTAGGGGTGGGTGGGTGGCTGGTTCTGTTTGTCTGGACAGGGCATAGCAATTTTCAGAGTGTCTCAAAAAAATAAGATTAGTCATCTTAGGAAATGATTCTAAGTGACTTATGTATATCCCAAGTTTCTTGTAAGGAATCCTGGATATGTCACCAGGTGTCTTGTAGTACTATGACAATGACGACAATGACTACCCTATCACTACTACTACTTCAGGTTATCATTTATTAAGTACCTACTGTATGCAAGGAACAAGAAAAGGAACGAACTTTCACATACATTTTCTCATTTTTTCCATAAGCAATCCTATGAGGTACACATTCCAAGCATTGATTTATAAATAAGCAAATTGAGACTCGGAGAATTAAAATAACTCATATGGCGATTAATGCAGCAAAACTGGCCAGCTCTTAGTGTTCTGCATCCTGGATATTCAAATTATCTCCAATCAAGGGAATAGCGGTAATAAGACACAGGTAAACATAATTTGTCTTATTAGCATAGTCAACGTATGAAAATCCTAACAATAAGAATGAAGCAGTGATACAAACTAGATGTTGTCCTTTTTGTATTTTGTAGTATTGGCTGTACCATGTTTTGTTCATAAATGTTCACGTGGGGGTTGAGCGTGTGGGCCACACCAGAAAGTTATAGTTTTATTATCAATAACATTTGGTGGCATAGGTATTTTTCCCAACTCCTAACTTGGTAAGGAGTGCCCCACGTTTTGGTGTGAGCAGACAAAGTCATTGCCGGTGGTGGTTCCTTTCTGTTCTGTTCCACATCTATACCCACCCTCTCTTGTTTATGCCAACATTCTCTCTCCTCTCACTTTTCCTCCATTGGTTTAGGCACCAAGTTTTTTCCTCTTAATGCACCAAATAATCTCATCATTTCTTCTCACTGTAGTAAAACATACTCCRGAATTGAATGGCCACCTTGGAAAACATCCTATGTCTTACCCTGTGTGTGGCCAGTTTTGAGCACAGCTGGTTCTCACGAATTTCCTCTGGCTGAGAATCCCCCCTTTTTAGTAGCCTTCCTAAGCAGATCAGCTTGTATTCATAATTTCCCAAAGGACAAACCAAAGGCCTTATCATTGAGGTCACTTTTCATAGGGAACACTCGACTGGATTGGACTCTTGAATGCCCTAAGCATGACTCAGTGGGAGAGTGAACAACTGGCCCAAGTTGGTTGTCAGTGGATCCTTGGTTGCTTCCCCTTTATCCACAGCTAAGTGGCCTGCCCAACCCTTTCCCTGCCACCAGCCAGCTCTCCCTGCTGGACTCTCCTCTGTCCAGCTGTGCTGGAAAACAGAAGAGTTTCTAGCTTCCCTTCCCTCCTCGAAACCGGCAACTCCAGCTCCTTCCTAGTTTTAGGATTTCTACTGAAAGAAAATACAGCAACATGGAGCGTTGGTAGGTGAGAAGCAAGCACTGACAGAGCCATGGCTGTCTCAGTGACCTCAGAACAAAAACCGCGAGTCCACCCTGGCTCCTGGTTGAACCGTCCTCGGCTCCGAGCTCGCCTTCCTCAAAACCTCGTCTCTGCCTCCCTTCTCCATGATTCTAGTGGGTCCTCTGGGAGGAGAACAGTCAGGCAGAGTTGGAAGTTTGAGAGATTGATTGAGGGGAATAAAGGTGGAGGGGACAGGAATGAGAGGGCGAGCTTTAGACCACGATGCCTGCCTGTCACCTGTGGAAGAAGAGAGGGCAGAAGGGGACCGAGCAGAGAGAGCCTCCGGGTGCAGAGATGCTGCCCACGGCTCCTGCGAGACTCTTCCCCTTTTCATGAAAGGAAATTCAGAAGAGAGAAGATAGTGAAATCAACTACTGTCCTTGCAGCTGCTGTTGATCTTGAAACTGCAACTGGGGCTCGCCATCGTCCTCCTTCACCCCCTCCTGATCCCAGACACCCTTCACCCTCTGCCATTGCCCTCACAGGGACAAGTGGCTTATCTGGTGACATGATCCAAACCTCCTTTCCTCTGGTGTTTGAGGTTCTGGTACCTAGATTTATCTCAAACCAGATTTCCTGCCTTTGTCCATTTGGGTTCAACTGGGCAGAGGAGGACGAAGAGATGCCCAACTGAAACACTCGCGTTCCAAGCGTTTTCCTTTCTGTCTCGGTTCTGCGATGGCCACTCAATCTCCTCCTGCTGACCAGGATTGATTACTCCTGCCAAGATAGTGACTGTTCTTTCTTGCTAATCTCTGTGTACAAGAATTTCCAAGTGCCCAGGCAGTGGTTTAGTAGGAAATTTGCTGGGTCCCCTGGTCTGCGTGCACTCCCTTAGGAACCAGAACATTAAACACCGAGGAACCCAGGGTTGGAGGGATCAGCAGCACAAAATGCTTCCAGTGGGTCCCTGTGAGTCCTCTCCTTGGATTGAAAACCCATAGATTCTTTCTATTCCAGCAATCGTCCCATACAGAGTATGTGACATATGGGCACAATCAGTCCGGAAGAGAGCTCCTCATCCTGGCAGAGGATTGGCTGAAGCAAGCTGCTCTGCTGGCCTATCAGTGGGCTGCCTGCACGTGCGGTGATGTCAGTATCACCAGTGTATCCCATGGTCGTCCGCCCAGGCTCATGCTGTCTTCACTCGGATATGGGATCAACTGATCTGATGCGTCTATGTGGCACTCGGTGCCTGGGAATTAGACATTCTGAAACCCCTGATAGTGCTGCCTAAGGCTCCGCTGGTGAGAAGGGCAAAACCCTGCCTGGCTTACCTTCTCTGGGTTGAACAGTGCTACTGTATTTCAGGTCCTGCCACGTGGTCCACTGGTCTCTTCAAGAACCTATCCTGCACCAGGAGCTCAGTGCTGTTCTCTTTCTGGAAGAGGCTATATTAGCTGGCTTGGCTGTGGAAAGCCCATTCTGTTGAGCACTCTGGCATGGCCATTTGGTCATGTGCCCACTGCTACAGAGACCCTGATGTCCACTCCCAGATGCTGTTCCCAAGCCCCCACCTCCACCTCCTCTCTCACCTTCCTGTCCTTTCCTACCAGCATCCTGGCTGAATGGCCAGCTCATGAGCCCTATAGGAGTCTAGAGGTCTGCATATTTTTACTTTTGCCCCATTTCTCCGTCTGTACCAAGTGAGTGCCAGCAGCACCACTTACTCTGTTGGCTGGAAAGAGCCTGTCTGGTCACGGTCTCCAAAGGCCAGTCCGAGCATTGCAAGAACGCAGCCGCCATCCATTCCCAGCCCACACTCCTGTGCCCAGCTGACCTGTTGGTGAACCAAACAGGCTTTTCTCTTCTCCTTCAGCTCATTGCCGTGGGAGGACCAGGACCTGCCTAGGTAAGGACTGGGAGAGGAACATGAGTGGTGATGGAAGTCGGAGTCTGCATAGTCTTGCGACTGTCCTGTGCCTTCTGATCCTGGCCTGGCTCAATTCTGGATGTACTATCTTTCAACAGCCAATGGATTGGTCCTGGCAGTCCACCTCTGATGACCTGGTAGGTTTGATGAAACCCAGTCCACAATAGGAGGCTCTGGGTATGTGGTCACTTGGAGCTCCGTGGTGAAATATTCTTTCCATACCTGGGACTAGTCGTGTGCCTAGAGCTGTTTAGCTCTCCACTGCAGATGGCACCTTGCGCCAGGAACCCAGGGAACTGTGACTTTGGTGCCTCCCGTTTGGTTTGCCATTAGCTTTACACGCTCTCTTTTCCCACCAGAGATGCTACCAACACAAGAGGCCTGCGGAAGGGTGTGGCCCAGGAGGGGGGGCTTCTGGCACTGCATCTTGGACCTGAGCCAGAACCCTGTCCTGCTTTGCCAGCCACTCAACTCCTGCAGACTTCCATGTTACCTGGACAAAGGTCCTAGGTGTGGACCGTGTTCCTTCCAAAATCCAAGGGGGTTTTTGTTCAGTTGTTACGCTTTCTTCTTCTTCATGAGAGGAGCACAGGATACAGCCATTGGGCTCGCTTCGGCAGCACATTCACTAAAATTTAAACAATACAGAAAAGATCGGCATGGCCCCAAGGATGACATGCAAATCCATGAAGCATTCCATATTTAAAAAAAAAAAAGATACAGAGAACCCATCTTTACTTTGGAGGAGACACCCCAGCACAATCCCCGATTCCTAAAAACTTCACTAAAAAGACAGGTTCCCAGTCATCAGAGGGCTTATTTCCCAGTCTGAGGCCTGCATCGACTCCACCAATGCAACCGTATGCTAGCCAACTGGCTTGCACTTGCTCTATCAGCAAGATTTGATGGAGGCTATGGATCAAGGTGATTCTGTTAGAAGTCTAGATAATTGAGACATCTTTGGACTTTGTTATAACTGCGGGTAGGAAAGAGAACTTAGGGTGGGGCGTCAAACTGGAAAAGGACACCACTATCTCTTTCCCATGAGTGCAGGTTGCTTCTTACCCTCTTTCCTGAAGTAAAGCACTTGCCAGATCAGTAGCAAGGGCTCGGGATGTTTTATGGGGATAAATGCCCTTTAGCCTCTGGCTCCCTGATTCTCTCCTACTTACAATCGCAGAAATTTAACTGCACCTTCGGAGGCTGCTCATCTATTTCACTCCTAGTGACTCTCTGTTCTGTTAACCATCTCCACCATTTCATGTGGCTCAAGTCTGATTTGCTGCTCCTCTGACCTTGCTGGTCATTATGGTAATTGCAGCTCCCTGGTTTCTGGCAGTTCAGTGGCACCACCTGGCCACTTCTCTTCCTGGATCCCTAGTTTTCTTCCTATCGCTATTAATAAGCCAAAATCTGTGATCACTTTTGCCATCAGCTCTAACCTACAGAGAAGAGTTGCACTGATCTTATGATGACACTCCTCCCAGGAGCATGTCCCTGATGGCCTTACTGGGTGGTGTGTCCTCTGGTCCCTTCTGAGGAGCACACAGCTCTGGTGGAACTTCTGAGTTCATATGATCCATCCTCTCCAGCACATCCGGGGCCCTTCGGCTTTGAATTCCTATTTGTGCCATCAGACATGTCACCCTTGCTCAGTGCAGACAAATACGGGCTTCTTTTGGCTTCTCAGAGCCATCTGTCCTCAGGATCCGTGCCAGGGTATTGTATCCTGTGTTCCAAGTGCTTCCAAGTCGAAGAATTCTTGTTTCTCATCTTACACACTGGCTCCTTTGACCAAGTACCAGCAACATGTAACCCTGTCTCCTGCTAATGCTTGTAACTTCTTTGGAGACATAATATCCCTCCTCCTTTGCAAACCCAAGTCATCTCCAAGCAGAGACGTCCTGGGATTTATCAGCCTGAAAGGCAGAAGAGGTAGAAGTTCTGAGGGGACACCTACAGCCTTGCAGGGGGGTTTTCAGGGTCTCCCCCAACCCCCAGGGAAAGTGCTTGTTCTTAAGAGGGAGGCGTGGGGTACCCTCGTAAACTCAGACTGCAGGTGTGTCTACACACACGGAATTGAGGTGTCCATCCCGTGTTCAGGGGCTGGGTTTCCCAACAAGAACTGCGATCCTAGCATAACAGACCTGCTCAGGTCTTGAATTATCAAGTCCTGCATTGGCAACTCAGCCTCTCCACTGACCGACTGCAGGAGACGATGACTCTTTGCAGGTCCCCTAGCTCTCACCCTTAGTCTTTATTCACTCACAACCTTTATATTTTTGTTCTCTCTCTCTCTCTCTCTTAGTCATGTTAGCCAAACTCCACCGTCCTCCTATGAACCCGTCCCTCCGCACATTTCAATTGCCTGAATTACCACATTGGCAATGTCATTTCCCTCCACTGGGACCCTTCCCAGGTCACCCGGTGTTAGATGTAGCTCCCAACTGGAGCACCACCAAGAGCCATCTGTGTTTCCTCCAACACAGGGGACCACTGCCTTCTCCCCAGCTCCACAGGCAGCCATCTGCACCCCACCCACATCTTGTCACCGGCTTCCCCACACCAGTCCCAGTGCTCACGGTGTCATGTTGGACTCAAGACTTCCGTGTGGGTGAGACACCATCCGGGAAAAATAAAGGACCAAGTCATCAGGAGTAGGTTAAAAGGACCTCAAAGCATGATGCAGAGGGCTGACAGCTCTAACGTGGGCAAGAGAAGAGTGGAAGGTTCTACAGGAAGAGTCTCCTGGCCAACAGCTGCCTAGGAGAGGTGTCTGCACCAGCAGAAGTAGCCTGAATCAAATGGTTTGCACCTGCTCAGGTGCTGGCCCTGGGAGAGGTGGCCTCTACCTGACCCTGCAGCAGGTGCTGAAGGCAGGTCCCTGGAGCTGACACTTCTCTCACAGCAGGTCGTCTCTTTAAGGGAGCTCTGGGAGGGGCCTCGATGGCTGCTGAAGCCCCACGGAAGTCTCTTGGGGTCTTTGGGGTTTTCCCATTCTGTCTCCCCTGGACTAAGCCCATGCTCCTCAGACTGTGTGAGCCTCCAGACGACACTACTGGAGAGTTCCCTGACTCTTCCAGAACCTGCTTCCTGGTCTCTTTCAATGATTGAGACATTTGATTATCAACCCCCAAAGACTCCTCCAGGTCGGCAGCCAGTCACCTGGCTCAGGTGTGCTAACTGCTCCTGAAGCTCCCTGGGGTCCCAGTCGCTAGAAGTCAGACAGAGCTCGGCTTCAACGCTGGCTGTGTGATGTGAGCCTCAGAAAAACCCTTAACCCCATCATCCCACGTTTCCCTTGGTGAAATATGAAGTCGCCTTCTTGCCTCTTACAGGGTTGGATGACACGACGTGGGCGTGTCCAGCAGGGGGCCTGGCCCTGTGCCCCTCCAGAGAAGTGCCTTGTGCGCTCCTTTGCTCAGATTTCCTGCGGAACATTTCCCTGGGCCATGGTAAACTCCGATTCTCCTTTTTTGTGGGGACAGCTCAGCTTCCTCATCCAGGTTCCTAGTGAACATGTAGAGCTATCTACAACAGCTTCCTTCTCGAGCTCCTGGCTGAATTCTATCTTTTCCTAGTTAAAAGTTGCATCTCAGGTTAACCTACTTCTAGGTTCCTGCTCGTGCCTTAGGGCGGTCTCGGGACAGCAGCTCATTTGTACAGTAGGGAAAGCTGACACCGCAGTCCAGTGAAAGCGTGAATCCCATTACCTGGGTCCCCACCTTGGCCCACGTACCACAGGTTCCCTCTGATTTCTCTACTCAGTTGTCACATCAACCTGCCTGCTGTCTGCATCCTCCTGAATGGACAGAAAATGCTATGATAGTAAAACTCTTTAAACTTACTGAAATTACAACGGGCATTTTAAAAAAGTTTTATTTTTAGGGAAGAGTTCTGTTGTTCCTCCTCATGCTCACTACTCAAAATACACATGTTCCGGGCATATGTCGCGCGCACACACAGACACGCTGGCTTTAAACAAGGCATATTCTTGTACTCCTTGACATCTGCTTCTGTTGATTAAACACATCTCTCTTCTATTTGGGCTTCAACATGGTAAAAAAAAAAGAAACACACTTGAATGTGTCAAAGCTTGTCTGCGTGCCCCTTAATAAGTGACAGAAATTGTTGCAGACAGAATCCAGCATCCGGAAGTCGGGTCACTGAGGGACCCTGGCTGGAGTGGCCTCCAACAAGCCCATCACTGCTGGACTGGCAGGTGGATGTAGATAGTGGACCTTTCCCACTTTACCTTTCCTTAGATGGGTTTGCCTTTCAAGAGAACCAGGACGGGTTTCTCAGTGTGGGCAAAAGGAAGCATGAAAGCAAGATGAAGAGATCGTTCCCCACTCTGTTCCTCTGTGTCGCCACCCGTCTCCAGAGTGACATGGCTGCTCTGCTTCTGAACCTTCAGGGACAGCGCGCACTACCATCCAGAGCTGGGCCATTTGAATCTTAAGTTTTACAGGTTCTCCTTCGTGAGCACCTACATCTGCAACTGCAGGGTGGCTTCACCTCTGGCATTCACACTCAGAGCGGCTCCATTTTCTTCCATCGCACGTTGAAATTCTATTCACAACCATCGTTCATTTACATACATATATTCAAATGGTGGTTGGATTCTTTTCACAGTGCTGCGTTTTATGAGCAGGGTACCTTCATCCATATTTTATTGCAAGGAGATTACCATTATTATTAGACATTTAAAAATGTGAGCCATGGTTACTTATAACACAGAAAAAAAAAAATCAAGCGACCTAAAGCACACAAAAATAACACATCAAATTTAGACGACTGAAAGTGTAGCTGGAAGGTTCCATCTCCTGTGCAAACTCAACCCTTCAGCAATGGCTGCATTTTAATTCTGTAAATGACAGTCTCCCAGCAGGCTGGACCAGTCTGCTCGCCCTCACATCCTCTCTCTAATTGGCTGCCCAGGAACCCCTCCTCGCAGACAGCCTTGTTAGCTCATGGGGAAACAATGGATTGGGCAGCACATCAAAAGGTTGAATACGGAGAGAAATGAAAGACTCTAGTGGCCGGCTGCATCCTGGTAATTGAAGAGTAGGAGAATCTTTGTGTGTGTGTGTGTGTGTGTGCGCGTGCGCACGCAGTTCAGATGTTGAGGGCTGCCAGATGAGAAAATAATCAGGTGGGAGATCAGAGATATTGTGGGACAAAAACAAGAGTGAATGCACCCTGGCAGACAGCACGCATTTCACGGAATAACTTCCCAGTCTTCCGATGAAATCTGCCACTGCTGCCCGGAACACCTGTGCCATTATTGCCTGATCACAGTTATCAATGGATTTGATCATTACAGCCCAGGGGCGCCGAGGCTTTCGCTTTTCCCTTTCCTTTTAAAATGAAACGTGGAATGGAAAATAAAAGCATTTGCAATTAGAACTCTGATTCCCATGTGAGTTTGAAAGCATGGGATGGTATCAAGGAGAAAGCCCTGGCAGCCGGGGAGAACTGCTTTTGATCCCAGGTCTGTTGACTCTTGGCTGCATAACATCAGGGAAAGCCATCAACCTTCTAATCAGCAGTGGCTTCAAACATGAAACAGGGAAAATAATACCTATTACACAGAGTTGTGGAGGGACAAATAACTGGATGTGGCCAGCACCATTCATGCTAGAAGAAAAGGGCCCACATCTTAGGAGACCTCCTTTTGTAGTTGCAGTCACCGTTATTTCTGCC